CTCATCATCTAGAAAACGAAAAGCTAGGGTGCTGCTTCTATGCAGTTTAGATTCCACGATGTCATCATTTCCTCTATCTACAACCTGATCCAGCAAAACATCACATCAACTATTTTGATTTCTAGATTCTTCCTCAGATTTTCTCAAGAGCAGCCATGCCACGGGCAAGGGAAAAAAAAGACAAAATCCAAATTTGCGAACGGAGCGGGCCTCTTCGTTGACTTGCAAACACAGCATAAGTATTATACTCCAGATTTCAGTGTGTACTGTTGTTCTCAACTAGTGATGATATTGACATGGTGAATTCTTCTCCCAGCCTCCAAATTTACATGCGTGCTCAGTGACACTCAACTGCAAACAACTACCACTGGCAAACTAGAAGAGGAACAAGGACTAGCCTGAAAGCATATCATGATCTGATTGTGCTTGCGCACTTAAGGGTCGTCCTGACCAAAGCATCCAGCAGGTCGATGCATTTCTTGAGCCGCGGGTCGACACGTTTCTTGAGCTGCGGGTGGTCATCAAGCAAGATACCAACAAAGTCATCCTAATATTTTCACTAGCTCTAGCCTAAATGTCTCCAGATTCTGGAAGGGGGTCTAAACTGTCATTAAATCCATTAAATTTGGACATAGATGGCAGATTGAGATGGGGCTAAAGTTAGATTTTGGAAAGATACTTGGTTTGGTACTTCCCCTTTAGTTGTTCAGTGTTGGGATCTTTACACTATATATGTAATGAGCCCTCTAAACTGTAAAGCATGCTTGGGATGGTAATCAGTTGAAGTTTTACATTTGGAAGGATCTTTAATGACTGGATGATGGAGCAATTGTTTCAACTTGTTGATATAGCCAGTAGTATATCTTTCCAGGATGACACTAATTCTTTAGTTTCGCAATTAGAAACAAAGGTCAATATAGTACTAGCTCTCTTTATCATGTAATCAACTTTAGAGGTGTGCAGCATGTTTATCTCCCTGCTATCTGGAAATTAGTTGTGCCTCCTAAAATTCATATCTTCCTATGGTTACTCTCCCATAATAAACTTATGGCTACAGATAATCTTAGGAAGAGGCATATCATTAAACTTCTGGACTGTTTTCTTCAGAGAGGATGAATCTGTTCATCATTTGTTTCATGCCTGCATAGTTGCCAGAGCAGTTTGGTCTATGATTAGTGACCTTTTTAAGAAACCTTTAGGTACAAATTATGAATTTGTAGCTAGATTTTGGGTTTCTAATAATAAGAATTCTGCCATCAATATTGTTTGTACTGCCGCTATGTGGTGTTTGTGGAAATTTAGAAATAGTATGATTTTCAGTAACATCATTTGGTCTACAATCAAGTAGGTGGGTGGAATATCTTGAAAACGATCAGGCATTGGATGATTCTGCCGAAGGATCATACAAAGCTGGAATTGGAGGCTGTTTGCAACTCCCTCTCGAACTACATGAGGGAACCTCTCCTGATTCTAAGTGGCTAAAGATCGCTGAGCTACCCCCACTGATGCTGGAACATTCTTTGCACAAGCTCCATATTGAAGATCCCCGGCAACAGTTCTACAGATCCCCTAAGGGAGTCGGCTGGCCGCCTGCAAAACAAGTTACTCTGAGCCTTGCATCACCCCTAGACGTGGTCTCCATCATCAGCCAAGCGACCGAAGCTATCCAGGCTCTGTGAAGCTCTTTCTCTCATGTGATGGGCCCTGAATTGTAATAAATTGGGACTGGTTTTCCTTCTCTTAGTGTTGCCAACTTTTTGTCAGTTAAAACTTAGATTTTGCTCTGGTCTTTCCTAGCTCGTAGCTTGTTGTTTCGGACTTTTTTCTGCTTTGGCTTCTGCCTGGATATTGTATGTGGTTTCATTTTATGTGTAGCTGGAAAGTGTCTCCCTGTTTTTCAAAAAAGATGCAAGGATTATTGCATTGGCAGCCCACAAGTAGAAGCTGGAGTTATATTCACAATAGATTTCTCGTGCCCTCCATGTCCCCTTTCCTAAAAGCACTAATAGCTGGTAACACCACGTGCTCCATTGAAGCTCTATCTGGACAGACTACCTCAACACCCTGATGAGGACATTTAAACAAGAAACGACTCCCTTCGTCCGGAAATACTTGTCAGCGAAATGGATGTATCTAGACATATTTTAGTTCTAGATACATCCATTTTTATCCATTTATGCGACAAGTATTTTCGGACGGAGGGAGTATTTAACTGATAAAGTTTCAATTGGATGAGAAGAATAGTACCAGGGAAAATGTGAACTAGAATCTCTCAAGGCATCTCACTAGAATAATAAATTGGAAATATCCTATCATGGGACTGGCAAACTGGAAATGGACAAGCTACATAGGCGAAGCTGTCAATCTTTGTCCAGCCAGAATTTTCAGACTAAGAGCATCTCCATTCTGCAACAATAACCAGTTATTGCGGCTCCTGAAGAACACTTTTGCGATCATTCCACACGCGCTCTGTGCTGTCCGATCCGTGCGCGTCTATCCCCGTTGCCTGTTTGGCGCCCTCCCAGCCGTCTGATCGGGCAAGGTTGCTCGTCACCAAACCGGCAGCCTCAGGGGTCCATGACGCGTGGCCTTGGGGCGTGCACGTGGCCACCTCATCTACCGGGTGTTGCTCTGCCTGTGCCGTCCGTGCGCTTGTGTGGGGGCGCCTCATGTTTGGGCCACCGGGTAAAGGCGGTCGTCGTGCGTGGAGCCTGTCCGGCTGTACGGGTGTGTGCCGGCTCGTGTGCTGGTGTGTGCATGTTTGGGCCACCGAGCAGAGGTGTACCTCTTTCTTGGACCCCACCCGGCTATCCCGCCCAACACCCGGATGGTTGTTCGGGCAGGCGCGTTGGGAGACTTTGCGGAGCCGGCATCTTACCGGGCGGATATGGTGGGTTTGCTCCTTTGGCCTGTGCCCGTCTGTTTCATTTTGGTGTGCTTGCTCTCGTCCTGCCTATCCGGCCATGGCCACATGGAGTTGTGTTCGTTCCGTCCGACAGGTCCTATCCGGCCAGTGTCCACGTGGAGTTGTTTTCTTTCCATCCGGTTAGTTAGTTCTATCAGGCCGGTCTCCGCCGTCCGGCTGGTCCTATCAGGCCGATGTCCGTGTGGAGCTGTGTTCGTTCCGCCCTTCTTTGGTCGTTCTGTATGCTTTGTAGGTCCTGTGAGCGGCTGGTCCATAGGAGTGTGTGGCTGGGCAACGTGCCTGCTGGTTCTCGGCATTTGACCTGTGTTCCTCCCTCCTTGTGTGCCCAATTGTTGTCTGGCGGTGCCCCCCCCCCCCCTTATTGGCCCCGTGCTAGTGGCAGCAATGAGGGTGGCCGAGTCCATTG